GGGGGGGGGGGCCAGACGGACACATCGATGTGAGAGACACATAGATTGGTTGCCTCCTGCATGTGCCTCAACTAGGGCTGAGCCTGCAACCAAGGTACGTGCCCTTGGCCCAAATCGAACCTGGGACTCTTCAGTCCACAGGCTGATGCTCTAACCACTGAGAATTAATTTCATTTTTCTTATGAAATAACGGAGTGAACAGTATTTGTACTTGTTTTTAATATGCAACAGATCTAGTCAATCTTATGTCCTTAGTAATATTACTTTGGGACAGACATTATCATTATCAAATTTACCATAATTTGGTGGATATGGAAACTGCTGGGGTGGCGCCTGTGGCATGGCAGGCCCTGCCAAAACCCCATCCATGCTGGGGGAGGTAGTCACATTAGGGGGTGGGCTGAAGGCCTGGGTCTGCTGCTGCTGTTGCTGCTGCTGCTGCTGCATCATCATCGCTGCCACCCTCTGCTGTCGAAAGTGATGACTTAGCAGCTCCCTGCTGCGCTGGGCAACCATCTGGGCATTAAGAAAACCCTGCTAATACCCAAGAAAAAATTCAATTAACACATAATAGCGAAAAAACAGCTAATTTCATGCATATAGTACCCCCACAATATATTAGGTATCAGAAAAAAAACACCCAATGCCTTTCTTGGCAATTACAAAAAAAGGAAAAATGCACAATTCTCATCTTGGTAAAGGCATTCTGGCTATTGGAGGGGGGTAGGAGGGTGGATATTTGCAGAATAGGGACCTAGAAATTAACTTGGGGGTCAGGAGCTGAAAGCAGACAGTTGTCAAGCTTTAAATAGAAAACATTCCTCAAAGTGAGAGACTACTTAGAGTAGATTTTGAGGATAAACTTTTCAGAAATTATGAAATAGAGCTATATGATGAAAAATGACGGGATTGAGAGTGTACTGGGGAAAGGGGGATTTGAAACAAGAAGGGGAGAAAATAAAAAAATATGGGGTTATACTCAGAAAGCAGGAATCCACCCCAGAAAATCTTACGATCTCTTTAAACCTCTGAAAGAGGAGGCAGAGGGTAAGGAGAAGCTACCTGAAGTTCAGGAGGTGACAAAGCACTTAACAAGGAAGCTGGTTTGTGTTCTACCAGCTGGGAGAGACCATCTCCAAAAGCAAGCTTTTATTATCATTTTGGAGGGCACCCTAGCTTAGCTTATACAGGATGTCTGATTATCAAGAAAATACAGATATCAGTTCTTGCAAGTGGACCTAAGACAGTGAAAACTGGGCATTTCAGCTGTTCTTGAACAATAATTGTAACATTTCAGACCACAGTAAAGGACTTCTGTGGTATCACCTCCCTCGTGCACATTAAGACAATACCTTAATACAGTCTCCACTTTAGACTGGAGGTAGAAAGAACTTTAATATCCCTTCCTCTATGGGAAAGAGATGTCATCTCAGAGATTATAAGGAGAGTAAGATTATGTTTTATTTATTTTCTTCTTTATTGTTCTTACAACTTCAAATGTTGCCCAGGGAGCATATGGTTTCATAATCCAAGAACAGAGAAAAGTTTCTAGATTATCTTAAATTCCTAAGAAGTGATAGCTGTTTTCACAACACAGTGATTGATCACAAATGGGAATTAATTTTAAAAACACGAATCAGTGGTGTTAATAAAAGAACCTCTCCTCTTCTGATTCTTCCCAGTCACCAGCAAGAGAAGAATGAAAGAAAAAGTGTGAGAGGACCATGAGATGGTTTCTTACCCAGAAATCTGGAATTACTTTATTTAACAACTATTTATTGAGAGCCAACCACAGGCCACGCCAGACCCTGTGCTAGGCATAGGACAGTGAAACTGAACATAGAGAAACTTGTTATTCTTACCTGGGAGTTCACCTGGGGCTGCATCATGGGCCTCATCACTGCAGCTCCACCAGCAGTGGGGTTTTCCATTTTCATTTCAAGTGCCTGCCGGCTCTGATTCAAAAACTGGAGAGACAGATAGATTGGTTAGGATGCAAATGGAACATATTAATAAGCCCAAAATACTTTTCCAAATCCTCAACACCACCCAGTGAAGTCACGATGGTATTCCAAACCCATTAACCTGGTTAAGTCATCACATCTAAGCTGAACCAGTCCATTTTCACATTTCACAAACGTCATGCTGAAAAGTTCTTGGCTAGCAAGTATATGAAGCTTTGTTGTTTGGTATCAGAAGTAAAAGTACAATTTTGCAGCTTAAAGAATATCTAGAACAGGAACTCAAAGGATTTGTAAAGTCAAATGTTCTCAGGGATTATTTAGGCCACTGGGGAAACAGCTTTAACTTGGTCAGAGTAACACTGAATAAACTACCTCCTCTACTACCTTTCCCTAAGTAAATTTTATTGGGAAGAAATAAAAAGTAAAATGACACCATGAGCACATTAACACAGTTCCCAAGTACTAAAAACTGACTCTTAGGAATACTCATACACTAGAAGCATCTCTGGCTCCTTGGATTCTAAACTCGCTTGCCTGCTTATACGGTTCAGCCCGACACATTTGATAACTCAGCACACCCACGATGCAAATATAAATAAGTTTAAAATATTTGTTGGGGATTAAGGAAACTGAGAAAAATATCTTATCTTGGCATATTAAAAGAGAGCTCAAGTTTTATAAAATATCTAGAAACCAGCAGTTACATAAAAAGAACGCTGAGCCCTGGCCAGTGTGGTCACCCTGTGCAGCAAAAGGTTGCCAGTGCGATTCCCAATCAGGGCACATGCTGGGGTTTCAGGCTCAATCCCTGGCAGGGGTCGTGCAGAAGGCAGCCGATCAATGTCTCCCTCTCACATCTATGTTTCTCTCTAAATAAAGTTTTTAAGAATGCTGAAATCAGTAAGGTTTAAATATTTGGTTATTACTATTAAAGACTTTTTTAAAAATAGAAGTTATCTACTTCCAGGACTACAAAGTCATCAAGAAATACTTTTCTCCCACAAAAGCAATCCTCTCTGGCACTGACTTTTTAACCTGTCCATTGGACTGACTATTCTTATAAAAACATACCTAATTCTAGCACACCACCCCTAACAAGAAACCATCTGTACAAACAAAATGTTACATGGAAGTGAAAACAAAAGGAATTCCTTTAGTTGACAAGGGATGGAGAGCCAGTGACATGAGCCCTGAAGAACACAGTCTAAAAACAATTGAGGAGGCCAAAGGTAAAGCAGCTTCAGCCAAAGCAGAGCATGTGAATGGTTACCTGTTGGCCCTGCAGCCTCTGCTGAAGCTGCATTCTAAGTTGCTTGGGGGTGTTTGTCCGAGGTCTCATGATGTTGGCCCTAGGGTGCATTCCCTGGAGAGGAAAACTGCCTTGCTGGTTCATCTGACTCATCATAGAGTTAAAAGATGGTGATTGTCCCTGAAGATTAAAGCCTCCTTGCATTGGAGGCCCCTGTGCTGGATACGTCTGCCCATATAATGCTGCCTTCTGATCCATTATTACTGATGCTTCTTGTCCTTGGAAAACATCCTGTTTGGGCTCCAAAGCTTGTCCCTTAAACATCAAACACATAAATGAACAGTGAAGTACATCTGGGAAAGCAACTGAAATCATATGCTCTAGAGAAGGTGAAAAATAAAGTTAATATATGTGAACAATGATGTTGCAGAACTCCAAAAGCAAAATCAAGTTTATTGTCTGAAGTCCCATGAGAACACAGACCATGCCCCATCTTTCATGGCTGTGTCCTAGGTGCCTAGCACAAGGTTTCACACAGACAGACACTCAAACTTATTTTCTGAACTAAATATCTTTAATGTATTAAGTACCTGCAGAAATACTATTTGTTCCGGACTAGATTTCTGTACCAACACGGACCTCCCATGGCATATATAAAACAAACCAATTAAAATCACTATGCTTAGTCATTTCTAATGTAATTTGTAAAAGGAAATTTTTGAAGTTTGCAACAGGTGATTTTGGAAGAGACAGGTAAATCGACAAAAGCTCATAGCCCCTGGAGTGTATTCACCTAAAGGTGGTCATCCACTACTGTCAGCGGAGGGCAGGCTGGCTTCACTCAACAAGTATTTACTTATTAAGTGCCTGTTATGTGCCAGATATCACTTCTGCTAAGGATGTGTACAAAATAATGTCCAGGAGATGACAGAAAAAGAGGTACAAATAAATATTCTGAAGGAGGGAAGAGCCTGCCATGCTCAGACAAGAAGAGCCTATCAGGTACATTTGCCTTTATCTTTTTATCCACAGGTAGAGAATGCCACGTGTGCAGGCCACACCCTCACCAAGGCTCGCCTCAAAGCATACTTCACCCCATTGCACAGTGACACCACACTGGGTTTTCGCCCACCTCTCTGGTCTTTCCCTGGAGGAATGTTAGCCCTCTTCTCTTCTCTCACTACATTCTCTACTTAGATGCTCTCATCCACTAGTGACGACTGGCAATTTTTTTGCTTCCAATTCAAATGTCTCTGAACTCTAATTCTGCTTATGCAACTGCCTACTTAACATCTTTACCTAGATGTCTCAGGCATCTCAAACTTAACATGCAGAAAACGGAAGTTGTGATTCCCGATAGCCCCGCCCCCAAAAGCCTGATTCTCCTCCAATCTTTACTGCATCACAATACTATACATGGCCGAAACCGTTCATCCCGAACTAAGTTGGCAATCTTGATTCTCCCATTCTCCCTGCCAAGTGTGTGTATGCACATGCACGCACACATGATCCACCATGTCCTGTCAGCTTTGCCTCCATGGCATATGCTGTACCCTTCTTTCCATTCCACTGCCACGACCCTTTTCAAGACAACTCTCAGGGCTCTTGTAGTAATTTGCATCTGTGTTTCTACTTTGTCCCATCATACCAATTCCCTTCTCCAGACAGAAATCGGAGATATCCTCTTATAAAGACAATTTATACAGTAAAAAATACTGTAAGTTTAACATAGCAAATTGATCGTGCACATTTAACAATTTTCTCTTGCTAACCCTACTAAAATGACAGCAAATAAAAAGGTAGTATTTAACCACAAAACAATGAGAATAAGGACGGTTAACAAGATCAAATAGGTCAACAGGCATCTGAAAGACAAAAAGAGAAGGGAGGCGTAACTCAACAGAGCAGAGAAACTGAGACCCATGTGCTTGAAGAGGAAAACTGAGCAAATGTCTCCCAGGTAGTCAATGGGAGACTCCACTGGGACAGCAGAGGGTCAGGCACAGTGCTCACACAGATGGTTGGTTAGGAGTCTGAGTATAGAGCAGGGGGGGCCAACTACCTCCTGCTCCCGAACTCCACACACTCAAGGGGCTGTACCTTCTACCTAACCTACTCCCCCAAGTGCCTGGGTTCAGGGACACCAAGCACAAGAGAGGGTAGAAACAGGGCAGAGGCTGAAAACAGAAAATCTTATATATTTACAATTTCTAGTAGAATTTTATAATTTTGTAAACTCACTACTCTAGCCCAAAATGCAACCAGGCAATAAAAAAAATTTCCAGCCCTAGCCGTTTTGGCTCAGTGGTTAGAGCATCAGCCTGTGGACTGAAGAGTCCCAGGTTTGATTTCGGCCAAGGGCATATACCTCGATTGCAGGCTCCGCGCCCTGGTTGGGGCATGTGCGGAGGCAACCAATGTGTCTGTCTCACATCAATGTTTCTCCCCCACCCCACCTCCACTCTCTCTGAAAAGCAATAGAAAAAATACCCTCAGGTGAGGATTTAAAAAGAAAAAAGAAAAAAAAAAACCCAGGCAAGAAATGGAGGATCTTCTCTAGAAAAACTATATTGGAGTGGGGGGGAGAACAAATCTACATGTTGCAATTTGGGTAGTCCTGAAATAAGACTGATCCTGCCTTTTCAATATATTACTCTTAAGTATAAAAAGGTAGTCCAGGATCACCAGATATTTGATGCTGAAAGCGTCCAACATTAGTGCCTCAAACAAATAAAAAGAAACTTAAAAATAAAGATTTAAAAAAACACAGAATCAATGTAATGCCCAACATGTCAACAGATACCCCCGAAAGAAAGATCACAAAAAACAGAAGAGATACAATTATTAAAGAAATTATACAAGAAAATGCCCCCAAACCAAAGGCAATATCTGTGCATCTAATACATAGCAGAATGAATGAAACGAGAGCCACACCAAGATAGGGCATCATGCCCTGGCGGGCGTGACTCAGTGATTAGAATGTCAGACTGCCCACCAGAGGGTCTCAGGTTCCCAATCAAGGGCACATACCTTATGGGTTGCAGGTTTGATCCCCTGCCCCGGCTGGGGGGCGTGTGCAGGAGGCAACCAATTGATGTGTCTCTGTCACATCGATGTTTCTCTCCCTCCCTTCCTCCCCTTCCACTCTAAAAATCAATGGAAAAAATATCCTCAGGTGAGGATTAACAAAAAGAAAAGAAGTTATGTGACTTAACTAACATAAGTAAAAAGCAACATTTTTAAAACTACACAGTAGTTTTATTGGGATCCTTTCTATAGTTGCCTAAAATCTGGCATCTTTATAAAATAATAGGTTGCTGGAAGTAATATCACAATTATAAAGTACATTTTCTCAATTTAATGCTGGTATACATGAAGGTAGTAATGTAACACAAGTAACACAGGCGGTCTTGTGCATGGCTTCAAGGATGTGCACACACATACTTCTATTTCCATGTTAATGCTACGTACTTGATTTACAAGTTCAGGGATGCCCAGAGCTCTGTCAATTTCTTCTAAGCCTGTGGCATCGGTGTTGCTCAAGAGTGTGTGCAATTGGTCCAACAATGCTCTTTCATCATTCTGTCCTTCTAGGTTTGAAGGTGGCCCAAGAAGATCATCCAGGGAATTTCTAAGAAGTGGCCTAAAAGGAGATTTGCAATTACAATGTTGCTTTTCTTCTTCAAAATAAAAAATAATCACAATAACTATACATAATATTTTAATATGCAATAACTCAAATACTATAAGTATAAATACCAACTGAGTAGCAGAGACTAGCAAATGGTATCAATTTAAATTTAAGGCCCACAGCCCAGCTGGAGTAGTTCTGTGATTGAGTCGACCCATAAACCAGGAGATCACGGTTCAAATTCTGGTCATAGCACATGCCCAGGTTGCAGGCTCAATCCCAATCCCCAGTAGGGGGCATGCAGGAGGCAGCCGATCAATGATTGTCTCTCATCATTGATGTTTCTCTCTCTCTCTCCCTCCTTTCCTCTGAAATCAATAAAAGCATACATATCTTTTTAAATTTTAATTTAAAGCCCACAATTTTAAACTTATGAGGCCATCTTCAATCATCATATCTAGCTTAGGCTTCTCCTCCTCCAATCATCAAAATGTAACTGCTAGACCCCTAGGCATTTGGGGGACAGCAGAGACTGGGGTTGGGAATGGAGGATGCAGTTTTCAAGACGCTACAAGAATAGAGGTGGTAATAGTCATATAAGTTGAAAAATCAACAAAAGAACAGGAAAAAAGGATAGAAATGATGCACTATCGAACTGAGCCTGGTAACCTGCTAAAATAACTTTGTTATACTTGACCCAAAGAGCTCATGCAGTGACAAGTATAATATAAACTCCATACATCACAGCAAGGTGCCACAGTTCTCAAGCACATTAAAAGGGCATGGAGCTAGACATTTCTCCTGACCCAAAAAATTCTGTGATGAAACTATTTGTTCTCTACTGGGTAAAGAAGCACTCAAGTTAATAAATTCATGTGGTGCCCTGGCTGATGTGGCTCAGTTGGTTGAGCACTGTCCCGGTGCATGTAAAGGTCACTGATACAATCCTCAGTCAGCACAGAGGCCCAGTTTGCAGGTTCGATCCCCAATTGGGGTGGGTCGGGGTGGGTACAGAAGGCAACTGATCAATGTTTCTCTCTCTCCCTCTACCATTCTCTCTAAAATCCATAAAAACATTTTAAAAAAATAAAAAATAAATTCATGTGGTTATATAACTACTCAAAAGACCAATTCATTTTTTTCTTAGCTTAACATATTATAGAATTCAAGTTAGAATTGACATTGACAGGTAGCTTCTTTCATGCAAATGAGTTATTACCGACCAAGCTAAATAAAAATAAAATATAAACATAATCCACTCTCTTGTACAAAAGAGTGCTATATACAGTTCACCATCACCATCATCCCTTAAATGTTTTAAATAATTTTTAAGAAGAATTATCCAATCCTTAAAAATTAATTTTTCATAAAAACTAGGCTTATCCTCTGAACACCATTTACCTTATAAAAATGGTGCTAATTTACCCCCCTCTTCATGGAGGAGAATTAGAACATTATGAGAGACAACTAGCTCACAGAGGCTCTCAGGTTTGACCACTCAAGAGTCCTGGTAGCTGAACAATATAATTCCGTCTCCTCCCTCTCCCATGAATGCCATTGCTTGGTGCCTCAGCCTCATTTTTACATATAATTATCCAAGAAATGCCCACATGGCAACAGATTACTTAATTACAGTTTTTCTCATCCTCTTTTAGGTTTGTTCCTGTGCTCTGATCCTTTTCTAGGTAATCCAATGCTAACATTTACTCGAGTCATATAATAACCCCCCCACCTATTTTGAGTCCCATGAGGGCCTTGTTCCATGGACAACATGCCATCTGGCCAGGAACCTGATTGGTTAGATGGTGCTGCTGGGCCATAAGGACTGACCCCCATTCCCATGGGAATTTCACCAGGCCCTGGAGAAGCAAGAAAGAAAGAATAAATTTTCAAATAAGCCAATAGCAAAAATTACTCTAAAATATCTAATTTCATTTTTCATGAAGGGGATGCTTACGCATTTGAAGCATCTGCTGCTGCTGCTGCTGTTGCTGCTGCTGCTGCTGTAACATTGGTCTTGAACCTGGAATGCTATTGGACCGAAGAGGCAAGGTGGGCATCGAGCCACCCATTGTAGGTCTAGGTAAAGCAGAATTATAATCCGCTCCTGGTCTTCCCATGGAGTTTGAACTCATAGGTTCCATTCTGCTGGCCTTTGAGTTTGGTAAGCCCCAGTCTCCCGAGGAAGGAGTCTGATTCACAGTCATGTTTCTGTTTGGTCCACCTACAACAGGTAGAAATTATTAGGTCTTTTCCATATTATAATAAAATCCTTCTTATATCATCTAGGTACAGTCATTATACACGTCAGCCATTACAAAAAAAGTGCTTTGTCATCCTAAGAATAGGACTAGCTAACTATTAAGACATTTTTCATGGGCCAGTATGAATCCATTACAGGTTAGAAAATGTCTTAGATCAAAAGCCTTCTAAAGGAGTTTAAATAACCAAGACATAGAATAAATGAACAGAATACTCATGAAAGAAACATTATGCTGCTTTTATTCAAAAACCTATTAATCCCAGTTACTTAAATGGCTCTAAGTGTTCAATTTGCTTTTCCCCAAAGAAAATTGTAATCACAAATACTAATTAGAAATAACATACCCATATTTGAACCATAATTTTCCTGACTATCCATCATTCTTGGATTCCCACCCAACATTGGTTGCTTTGGTAACATGGGGAAAGCACTGATATTCTTTACTGGAGGACTTGAGCCAACAGAAACAGGGCTATCTAGAGACACTGTTCGGTTGTATGGAGGACGAATGGACTGCACAGACTGTGGACTCCTCAAACCTGTTGAAAACATAGAAGCACAATACATATAAATATCCTCTGATGATCTGGTACATAATCAAGTAGAAGACATAAATACCAATACCACCCACCCAACAATGTCTTTCTTACTAAAAACAAACACTGTCATCCTTTACAATATAAAGACTAAGTAAAAAAAAAAAAAAAATCCTGTATTCCAAACACAGTAAAAACAAGAGTCTCAGTATTGGCTGACGTAGTAGGCACTGATCTGTAGCCTGTTACAGTCATTCCTATTCTGATTCACTTTAATCCTGAAAATGTTACCGATGTTTCAAACTGCTGAAGGTTCTTCACCTATGTCTACTTATTAAATGGCATCTCTGTTAGAATTTTACAATTAAGTGTAATCAGGTAAGTGTCTTCTAATCAAACAAGGGCTGAAACATAAAATTTCCTCCTAACCTTTTTCTTTTTTCCAGTCTATTTCATTAATCTGATTATCCATTTCAGTTTAGGAAATAGGGCCACTGAAAATGAATAACCTTCATTCAGATAATTGTTAACTATTCTTTTTCAATTAATACATACAATATATCCGTATTAAATTGATGAACGAGGAAAGACATGGCTATAGAAAAGAAGCTGGTGTTCAAATAGCAAACACCAAAGAAGAAAAGTCTCATAATTAATGACAAGATTCCATAAGTATCAAAGGACAGGTTTTGAGCTACAGTTTTGGTTGCTTTTTAACCCAATACTCTGTGCCTAGAAAAATATATGCCCTAGTACCTACTACTCATCTGGACCAAGCAAAGATGAACATTTTCCTATACATGCCATGATTACCAGCATCGTATTAGTTTAAAAAAGGGAATCTATTTATTTTTTTATTTCAAAGAGAGGAAGGGAGAGAAACATCAATGATGACAGAGAATCATCAATCGGCTGCCTCCTGCATGTATCCTATTGGGGATCGAGCCCAAAACCTGGGCATGAGCCCTCCAGGTTCCGGGGTCGACACTCAACCACTGAACCACACTTGGCTGGACAGGAATTTTTTTAAAAATAGGAAAATGTCCCAAAAGTTTTTACAAACACATAATTATAAATTAGTATAAGAAACTGAGAGGCAGAGTATGCAATCTGAAGTTATATATGCCAGCTGGATCCTAGTCTTAATGTAAGAGTACATAAAAGTATGCAGAAAAGTTTAAAATGCAGCAAGAATAAAACCCAGTTCTTTCTTACCCAGAGGATTAGTTCCTTGAAACATTTGTTGCTTGGTTCCCAGATTACTACCATTTGTGGATATGGAATTATTGTAAAAGTCAGAACTAGACAGATCCCCAAGAATAGCATCTAGATTATCCAAATCTCCAGATCCCTGAAAATAAAATTTTAAAAATTAACCTGTGTACATTACTAGATACACAGGTATAAACATATTCATGGAAAGAAAATAGATGAAATGGGAACCAGTAAAATACAACAGTTACATGAAATGATAACTCCCAACTTAAAGTCTGGCTAATTATGACCATCCCCCCACCCCCCAGTCTTCTTTCTTGAAAGAACAGTTAAACTACTAAGATAAACCCCTGGGTTTGGAGGTGCTCTCAAAGGGGCATTTCCTTAATTTACAGTAGATGTTTAATTCTCAAACTGTAGGATGTTTTCCAGGTAACAGTAGTCAGGGTCATTAGACAAAGATGCCTGCATCTACACATACCTTCTGAAAACAAGTATGATTAATAATAAAAGCAACAAGCTGATGTTCAACACAGTATTCATAGGTGTGCTTTAAAAGGGGCTTTTGGTCAATAAATTGGAGAATACTAGCATAAACAAAGTCAAACGGACATCCTAACAGTAGGACTTCTCCAAGACTTTAATTTTCTCAGGCAAATATTAACATCTCCCAGAATCGTGTTCCTCAAGCAGAGTTTGGGAAGTGCTTATATAGAACGTACATAAAATGTGATTTTAGGTAAAAATCAAAATGCTGTTGCTTAATACAAATCCCCATTCCTACCCCCCTGGTTTCTTTCTAGCATGCCCTTAAATCTGCTCATTCCAACAATAAATTTGAAAAAAAAAATTTCAAATTGGCTGGTAATGAGTTACTGTCACATTTTAGAACACACATCTGATATTTCTAAATTGTATCATAATACACTTTACTGATGCCCAAAAGAATTACAAAGAAATGATAGCTCAAGATTAACTTCCATTAAATAAACCTAAAATACAAGATAAGAATTTGTGTATAAAACATTATCTTTCTAATACAGAAATGCAAGGATGAAACACAATGACTAAGCTGGAATATATAAAAACAAATTACCTCTTCATTTGTTTCTGTCTTAATTTTAGCATCTTTTTCTTGGCTTGAGCTAGGCACTGTGGAGCTGCTGCACTGACTCATTTTGTTATCCACTCCCTCCACTTTGGGCTGTACTTCTTTAGAGAGAGTATCACTAGGATCATCCCTGTCCAGCAGGTATCTGAGTAGGGCATTATTTTCCTTCTTCTTAGGACTTAGTTGCTCCTGCTTGACGTTTCCTTCCACACAGAATGTTGTACTACTAGTGTCTTTCCCAGTGGCTTCTGCAGTAATCTTGGCCACTTCAGCTGGTGAATTCCCGTTCTGCAGCAACTTGTGCAAAATCCGGTGCTTCTCTTGCAGCAGTGACCCATGCATATTGGATGTAGAGGACACTCCTCCTGATGTTGAAGAGGAGACCCCAGAGGGGCTGGTGACACTAACGGAAGAATCTTTACAACTTGGATCCAGTGGGGAGTTGGTCAAAGAGGAATGACCCCGGTCATCAGAAGAACAGGTAAGTAACTGAAGTAATTTTTTATGACCTTTGCTTTCCAGAGGACCCCGTTGATTCTCTGACCCTTCGACATTGCTCTCCTTACTATCTTTGTCATTGAGGTGATCCCTATTTGACTGACACATTGAACTCTCCACAGGATTCTGGTCACAATACAAGCCTAAGGGACTCTTAGAATCCTGACTGTTCACTTTATTTGGTTGAGTTATATTCATATTGGGAGAGTTGTCCAATTTGGGGCCTGGTGAAGACAGAGTAGATAAAAGAGACGTCCCCACACCCTCACTGATAGCTTGAAGGGCACTGAGAGAGCTGCTGGAAAAGCTGTGGCTCCCAGTACTGCCAGAAGATCCCATGGGAGAGTGCACACCTGGATTTGGAGAAAAGTGAGAAAAATAATTGACTGCCAAATGCTATAACAAAACACCATTTAACTCTTCAGAGTTTCTATTATAAAATAAGTTAACTTCGTAAGAATTACAGTGGTATGGAAAGAATTACCAAAAAAGAAAAAAGAAAATGCCAACAAGAATACCTGCTACAGGAGAAAACTGATGTGAGGCCATCTTTGGACTTCCACGATTACGAGGAGAAATCATGATATTCTGCTGGTTGGAGCCAAGACCAGGACTCCCATGTGGGGGGCTACTCATGCTGAGACCATAGGTGTTGTTCTGGTAGGAAGATGGTGACTGGATGGCTGGCCCAGGGTTCATTGAAGCTATGTTACTGGAAGCCCCATATCTAGCTCCACTCATTTGCCCTGTGGTACTGGGGTCAGCCAAGCCATAGGTCCTGCTGTTCAGCATCGGTAAGCCTTGGTTCGGTGACATGCTCATGCCACCTACCGAGTTATTACATCCAGCCGCTGGAGGTCTAATGCCTTGTCCAACAGGATTTGGGTTCGGTCTATACCCATTCTGTTCCCTGCAAAAAAAGAAAAAAATTGACAGGTGTGAATTAAAGCCCAGAATCAGATTTTCTAAAAAGGACGAAGTGCCCAGGACTTAATTTCTTAGGCATCATTCTTATACCTAGTAACAATTCCAATCTAGATATTGATCAATTATTAACCTAATGACATACTTTTTAATAAGCCACAAAATCTAAATGAGTAACACCACCACAGCACAGCAAAGGGCCAACAGCTATGTTAACTGAAATCTCAGCAGTGCTTTACTAGAGTTGCCGCCCACCTAGGAGTTAACCAGGATGTGCAGCAAACTACTCAAGATAATGAATGAATGAATGAATACTTCTTCAGGTGTTGTTCATTTAGTAACTATTCTTAAAGTCTACCTTCAACTTTTAAATTCAATTCTTAGAGCAATGTAATATACCATTGGCATGAAAGCTAACAGAGGTAGTCAGGTTTTATATGTTCTTTTATCTACTAGCCTTCCCATTTCCCAGGTTTCCCAGGAAGTAATTATTTTACGAGCAAATACTCATTTCCACATTAAAATGCAACCTTAAAGAAAACAATCTAGGAATCTAAACTCACTTCGGTAAATCCAACATCCTTCTTGCTTTTTCTTGTTGAATTTTCTCTTTTTTTACATTAATAATGAAGCATTTGAGGACATCGCTGCACTTATTATGAGAATATGCAGTAAACTATCATTACCTCTGAAGAAAGTGGGTTGAAACAAAACCATGACGATCATTTGTTACAGGATTTCGGAAGAGTTTACTTTTTGTTTGTGCAGTCACTATAGTTCCATCAGCCAAAGAGAATCGATACACTGGCGTTTCTGCATGGCCATGAATATAAGCTGTTGGGGGAAATATCCTGTTACTAATTAACTACAATTACAAACAGGTATATATAGAAAAGAAATATACTTCAAATGCAATATTTTCAAAATCCAGTGAAAGACTGGACCTACAACAAAATTATGAATAGGCTAAACTAAGAATGCTCAAGAATCATTTCCCTACCCCACATGCACAAAACTATGGTCATGTATGTACTTCTGCTTTATAGCATGCCAAGCAATATCAAGAATCAACCTTAAAATGATTTACCTTCTTGATAGTGACGTTTCTGGGACCATGACTGCCCATCATTAAGACTAAAAAATCTCTGGATACACCTTCGAATTATATCTTCAAAGCCAGGTCTCATAGAGGATCGCAGTGAATTTGTATCTATATTGACAAGTTTTCCTATTAAATAAAAAATAAGAATTTAAATCCAACCAACAAGTATTTACTGGTTGCATACTGCATGGCTTAGCACTAAGAAATAAAGACACTAAATCCTTGTTCCACCTTCTCTGATCCAAATTTCTGCTATATCCAAAGCTTTTCTGTCTAAGGGCACAGTCCTTCAGTAAAGTCTTACATTAAATGTTTTGCTATATAGACTATAACAGTGTATCACACTCCTTCTCCTACTTTCTGAATGTACAGAAAGTAACATGTCCAGATAACCTCAGGTTCATTTTCATAAAAGGAAAAAAATAACACCTACCAGTAAAATTGTTCATATCTGATGATATTGCCCCTGCAACTATGAAGCAAGAGAAAAAATACTTGCCTAAACAGACAGTAGGGACCATTCTTCCCATCTGAGAGGTGACTTCATTTTTGGACACTTAAATCTATACAAGTAGGGTTAATCAAATACTCATATCCACAACTCTGGAATTTTAACAATTTTTTCCTTAATACCAAATACACTAAAGAGACAAAATATATACAACTCAAATATGCTATGAAATTATAGGTTTCATGATAGTCCTTAAAAACTGGCTAGGCCTTTTCAAGTTCTGAGCAGTACCAGGTAGGCTCCAGGAACAAATACCTTACAAAAAGTGGCAAAAAGAGAGCCAAGAAGAAAGTGGTTGATCCATTTTGGAAAAAGACTGGTATGATGTGAAAGCACCAGCTATATTCAACGTAAGAAATACTGGGAAAACACTAATAACAAGGACTCAACGAACCAAAATTGCCTCTGATGGTCTCAAGTGCTATGCTACTAAAGTGAGCCTTGCTGATATACAGAATGTTTAAGTTACATTTAGAAAATTCAAAATAATTACTGACAATGTCCAGGACCAAAACTGTGTGGTCAACATCCATGACATGAATTCCTGTGACAAAATATGAAACATGGTCAAAAAATGTCAGACTGTGATTAAAGCTCACGTTGAAGTCAAGACTACCGATGGTTGTTTTTGTCTGTTCTGCACAAATTTTACTAAAAAAATGCAATACTCAGATCCAGACAACCTCTCATACTCAGCACCAAAAGGCCCACCAAATCTAGAAGACAGAAATCATAACACAAGATTTGTAGACAGCCAGTATGGCTCAGTGGTTAGAAGGTCAACCTGTGCAAGAACTGATGGAGCTGAACCAGAGGGTCTCAGGCTCAGTTCCATGAAGGGCACATGCCTGGGTTGCACGTTTGATCCCCATCCCCGGGGGTGTGCAGGAGGCAACCAACTAATGTGTCTCTCTCACATTGATGTTTCTCTCTCTCCCCCCTCCCTCCCTGAAAATCAATGGAAAAAATATCCTCACCCCTTGAGTGAGAATTTAAAAAAAAAAAAAAAGATGTGCAGACAAATGACTTGGAAGAATTGGTCAATAACTTGATTCCAGACAGACTGGGAAAGACACAGAAAAAAATCTGCTGATCTATTTATCCTCTCCATGATGCGTTTGTGAGAAAAGTAAACATGAAGAAAATCAAGTTTGGATTGCGAAACTCATGATTCTTCATGGTGAATGACAGTTCTGGAAAAGCTGAAAAGGCACTGATGTTGGATAAGCTGATGGATATGAGCCACTAGTCCAAGAACCTGTTTAAACTTCAGATCTTTAATGGTGACAAATAAAAATCTTATTAATTGGGGAGGGGGCGGTGATTAGGGAGAAGAGACAAATGCATTCCAGAAAGAGTGAACACTTGCTGCTGTGCCAAGAATTAGAATGGTCTGTCCTCAACCACCTCCCCTGAACTCAGTTCTGAAAGCCACATGGCAAACACAATAGATATTCAGAAAAAAAATTATTAAATGAAACACATTAGGGACAGAGGAGATAAAATCTCTCCAGAGGCCATAAAAAGTATTAGACTGAGTGCAAATCTCCCTGGAAGAGCAGAGAGCAACTGGAAGGTACCAACTATACCTATAGTAAGATGGCTCTCAGGTGTTAACCAGATTAAAGTATTTGGGTTTCCTTGCTTGGTAAGTTCTAACTTTTATAACAGATATGTACTGCTTTATATTAAGGGAAAATACTAATGAGAATTTTTAAAGGTTCTATTTCCTAACCTGGTTAGGTAAAGATGTTTTATTCCATATTTTCAGCAAGATGTAAAGTATTGTTATTTAGGGAGAACATTTAGACTACCAATGATAACATAATACATAAAAATTATTGTCATAAGGTTTGATTATCTCAAGGTAAGAGAAAACTTTTCAGTATAAAGTAATATTCATCAGTGTAAACAGATTGAGAGAATTCATAATATAAATAACTTGTTTGCTTTTTTTGTATCTGTGAGAATTCATCTCAAGCAGCCTCTAGAAAAGTAACTGAGCCTGGCATAAATGGTTGACTGAAAATAGCTATTTTTTACATTAATGCTGTGTGTGTGTGTGTGTGTGTGTGTGTGTGTGTGTATGAATGTATAAAACAGCTATAGTTTTGTTGTATGGTTATTTAAACCTACTCCATTTTATCAAATTACTTGAGGGTCCACATGGTGGATACTAAACAAACAGCTCAGGTCTGACATCAAGTAGATCCAGCTGCAAATTCTCCTCTTATTAGCCATGATCTTGGACAAGTAACACACCTCTCTGTCACTGTGCCTGTTTCCTCATCTCTGAGATGCAGCATGTGATAAACCTGTGGCATCACCATTTAAGTTTACATGATTGTAAGAGTGACCTTAAAAGTAAAAACAGATAATATCACCACTGTTTTTCATTTCATCATTGTGACTTATCAACTACACACTGGCTTTAATTCTTTACCCCTATGGTCAAAAAAAGACAGATTGAAGTTCATGTTGATGTCAAGAATTACATCAGTAATCCTCATTAAACATGTCTTTGAAAATTTGTTTCTTTATGAAAAATGGGTTTGAAGTTAGAGAAAATAAATATTAATCTTTGATTGGAAATGCTATTTGGAAAGAGAGCCAGGTACCCTCTTGTCAAATACACCCAATTTATATGCCAAGGTTTTTAGTGAATCTCTCTCAGGATTGTGTAAGAAATACAGGAAATAATCACGCAAAGCATTCATTACACTGGGAACAGTCTAACAGTACAGACTGTAGAAATAGTTAACTTTTCTAAAAATTTTCTAAGTGAACGAACAGTTAATACAGAGCAATACACAAAGTTTTTTACCTGAAAGATCATGTCTAGTAATAAAGCTCTCAGGGTTTGACGGAAATGCTCTTTCTCCTGTAGTAATGCGGCGTGCCACACAGATCATGCAGGATTGCAAATCTACAATAAAATTCAACCAGGTAAGAAATCTATATAACCATTAAATGTCTGTTCAATAGATGAGTGAGGACATGAAATTCAGTAAGAATTATAACAATGGAAATTATGAAACTACAAGTTTGACTGCTGTTTCATAAACATCACAAACGTGATCACTCTTACCTTCCCCTTCCTCCATCATAGCTCGTGGCTGAGACAGGGCAAAGCACTGCATGGTTTCATATCTCTGGCGCATTTCAGGACTAGTGTTCATGTCTTCCACAATATCATGTGATGTTTTCATCAACATACGGCAGTTAAATGTATGGCTTTTTTGTCTCTGGGTCTCATTTGTCCAAGCTACTCCATTAACTTCGGAAAATAAATTTTAAAAGTTGACAATTCAGTTTATGACCATCATCAAGAACTCAAGCTATATTTTCTCATTACACATATTTTCCATAGTAAGGTCTACATTAACATTTCAAGGTGGCAATACAGTAGAGTTCCCCCTTATCCACAGTTTCAGTTACCCATGGTCAACGATGGTCCAAAACTATTAAATGAAAAATTCCAGAAATAAATCATTAATAAGTTTTAAACTGTGTGCCATCCTGCCCCACGCTGCCCGGGACATGAATCATCCCTTTGTCCCACAAATCTCGACGCTATATACTCTACCCACTTTGTAGCTATCTCGGTTATCGGGTCAAGTATCTCAGTAGCAGTCCTTGTGCTCAAGTAACCCTTACTTCACTTAGTAATGGCCCCAAAGCGCAAGAGTAGTGACGCTGGCAATTTGGATATGCCAAAGAGAAGACATAAAATGCTTCCTTTAAGTGAAAATGGTGTGTATGTATAGGGGGAAAAAACATAGTATATATAAGGTCTTGTACTACCCACGTTTTCAGACATCCACTGGGGGTCCTGGAATATATCCCCTGAGGATAAGGGAAAACTACTGTACATAAAACACTGAAATAATTTCAATTAAAACAGATATCTCACTGTATATTTTGGTCATATGAAATGTATACCATATTCTAAATTCACCAAGGTCATATTTGAAAATTTTGCTATTAACCACTTGCCTTTCTACACCAATTTAATTACTCGGCTTCCTAAAAGGTACATTCAATTTTCTAAGAAATGGTCAAGAAAACATTTTTTTCACCTTATTTAGAAAATATACATTAAGGGCCTACCTGTAGATTTTGGTAAGTTTTTAAGGAAATCCTTTCTGTCTTCTTCATGCAAGATATTGTAAACACTTGTGTTAACCAGGTCCTCTTGCTTATATTGCAGGTATTGTGTGACATTTTCTGACACAAATACAATGTTTCCATCACGATTCACCACAAACAGGAAACCATCCAATGCCTAAAGTGGGATAATGTTAATACTGGATATTATGGAATGAACTATATCCCTACTAAAATTCACATGTTGAACCCCTAACCCTCAATGAAGACAGGGTTTTCAGGAGGTAATAAGGTTAAATGAAGTTATAAGGGTAGGGCTCTAATCCAATATGACTGGTGTCCTTACAAGAGAGAGAAAAACCAGGGATGCACACAGAGAGAGAAGGCCATGTGAGGACACAATTAGAAGGCAGCCATCTATACAAGTGAAGGAGAGAGATCTCTCTTGAAAGAAACCAAGCCTCCTGACACCCTGATCTTGGACTTCCAGCATCCAAAATTTAAGAAAGAAATTTCTGCTGTTTAATCCACCCAATCTGTGATATTTTATTATGGCAGCCTTAAACTAAGACACCGGCCTTGGTGCTAAGTAGAATTTGAAAAAAACTGTTGATTTAACCATCACTGCAAACAACTATCAGCCACCATTTCTATTAACATTAGCACCATTACTACAGGGTTGTATAAAAAATAAAAAGACAATTTGAAGAAACAGGAAAAATATGTCAACATAAAATCTGAATTAATGTCTAACCTACTTTTTGAAGAATCACATCTTCAAAGCTTTTAAAAATGAAAAAAATCAACCTCAGCGCTTCCCATTTGTCCATCTAATACCAAGTCAGGCTACAGGAACTATACCACTGCACAAGAATTTACAAAGGGAAATGAGCTAAAAAAGAGAGGAGCAAACTAGATGAAACATAAAAGTTGACAAGTGAACTTTATGAAGGGCTTCAGGCCCTGACTTCAAATAAGAGAAACATTATGTAAGTGGTCTAAGTTAATCATATCTATTTAAGACAACTACTCAGAAAATGATGCACATTAAGTCTTAAAAATTCCTGCCAGAGAAGAGGGAAGGTTTAGGAGACTGAGTGAAAAAGGTGAAGGAATTGAGAAGTACAGATTGGTAGTTACAAAATAGTCATAGGAATATAGTACATCATAGGAAATATAGTCAATATCATAACAACTGTATACGGTGCCAGGTGGGTACTAGAAATATTAGTGGGAACACTTTGTAAAGTATATTGTCTAATCACGATGCTGAACACCTGAAACTAATACAAAATAATGCTGAATGTAAACTGTAACTGAAATTTTTAAAAAAGGGGAAAAAAATTTTTTAAACTTCCTCAAGAATATAAAATTGTAGTATGCCATATGATCAATCATGCAAAAATGCACAAAAACGTCTGAGCTAAAATATGCCCAAATATCAGCTTTGAAATTCTGGGTTACCTTTCCTCTCTTGCTCCTTTTTTTTGTTTTGTTTTGTTTTTTATATGTCTTTATTGATTTCAGAGAGAGGAAGAGAGAGGGAGATAGAGATAGAAACATCAATGATGAGAGAGTCATTGATTGGTTGCCTCCTGCACAACCCCTACTGGGGATCAAGACTGAAACTCACGCATGTGCCCTGTTCAGGAATCGAACTGCGATCTCCTACCTAAGTCGATGCTCAACCACTGAGCCACACCTGGCCGGGCTCCTCTGTATATTTTTGTTTGCTTTCTCAGTTTGCAACTGCATTTTACGATCATATTCAAAATACTGAATTCTGTCTCATAAAAAGAAACCTGTCTTTTTGTTCTCATTACCTAACCAAAATTTCAACAATTTTTTAAAAAATCAACACACCTTACTGGATAGCTAAAACCATATACTTACCTGAAGTAAAAGTGGTCCTAAGGAGTCTTTATCAATAACCCCCTGTCCTGTAGAAGATACATCAGCTTTCTGAACATCATCATCATTGGAAATAGCTTTTCCTAAAAAGACAGACAGCAGTACTACAAAGAGCACATATACCAGTGACAGATTAAATCCAATTTCAAATTAGTCCCCAGGACAGACACAAAGAGAAACACACACACACGTGCATATGCACATACACAATATTTTCTGATGAGAAAATGCTAAAAATTTTTACATGTTAAAATTAAACTTCAGAGTTACCCAGGAGGGAAGAAGATAAAGACACCCTAAATTTCCTTCATTACTAAACATACTACTATCCCATGGCTTCCTGAAAAAGAGCTAACATTTGACAAGGAGAACAACACTGGCCTTCCAATTCTCTGCTAACAGTTTCCTAAAGCATAAAACTGGTGAACTCATTTGTCCATTCCCACAGAGGCTAGCCTCAATTAGTAGGAGCCCCCACCTAAGCAACAAGGTAGAAAAAAGAAATGTAAACAGTTAAGTTCCTTCTAAAAGACTTGAGCGTTTTTCTTACTTTGTATTACCTTGCTCTTTTATTTGACGTATCTGTCTTACTGTTTCCTTCAAAATTGCACATTTATCTGGTTTGACATTGAAATTGTCAATATCACTAAGATTAGCAGATATCAGTTCAGCCAATTCTTCAATATATTTACTCTCCTGCTCCCGTCTCCACTTTTCACCACTGCAGGTAAGACTAAAAGGGGGAGAGGGGGGAGGAAACATGAATATACCTATCACAAAAGAATCATGAGCAGAATCAGTCCCTACACAACACCATTATCTTCATATGTAAAAAAAATCTCAATTCAGCCAATAAAAACTATCAAAACATTGTCTTAGAGAGGTAGTGCAATATAGCAGAAATTCATGCAAACCTAAATTCAAGTCCACCTTTTTGTTAGCCCCGTAGCCTTGGGAAGAGTTAACCTCAGTTTCATCAATCTGGAAATTAGGGATAAGTATTAATGATGAGGTTTTATAAATTGTAAATTGCCTTTGTTTTGCAACTATCACGTTAAAATTCAAATGATACTGACCTTGGAAAATACTTAAAAGGCTACAGAGTATTTTATTTCTACTTTTTAAACTTCTAACTGCATTCAGGAAACAAATGATGAAGCCTCACAAATAACAAAATATCAACTAATAACGTTCCTAAAAGATATTTAAAATTCTTATAATAATCTTGTTTATCTGTTCCTAACTCCTACCTCTTCCGTTGAGAAATGCTTCTTACAGTATCACACTGTTAGTATAATATTCTCACTTCTATCTGAATCAGCAATAAAGCTTCTATTACATCATAAAGATGTCCATCTCATCGCCATATTACTCTACTTACTATAAAGTAAAATAATAGTATTTAAGCAAAGACAAAAACCAAAAATATCTAACCAGAGAATGTAAATAACAGAAAATTAAAATGTTATCTTTAAACCAAAAAATAAGGGTAAGGGGAAGAGACCTTGATGTAGCATCAGAAAATAAACTGCCTACCCTTGTCCCGGGGTATCACATGGCAATTTGCGTTTTCGTGAATCAGGGACCAGTGGATCCAAGGAGTTTTCTCCTAATCCGCTCATCGTGAATATACATCAGCAACTAAGAAAGAATCATAAGATAAAAACATTATAAAATACCCGTGACTCTATAAAGGTATTATGAATATGCTTGAATGACTGCACATCATATAATTCAGAACTACTTTCCCTAACTGGTTAGATTAAAAAAAAAAAAAAAAGAATATTGAGAATTAAGATTTTTTAAATTGATTTTGAGAGAGAGAGAAAGGGAGGAGAGAGAGAGAAACATCAATGTGAGAGTGCAACATCGATTAGCTGCCTCCAGCACACCCCCTATGAAGGATTGAGCCCACAACCCAGGCATGTGCCCTGACTGGAAATCAAACTGACAACATTTTGGTGCACCGGATGACGCCCAACCAACTGAGCCACCCTGGCCAGGGCTCCATATTCTTTGTAGTAAATGAGTATACTCATATTCCAGTTTGATTGCCCATAATGTCCAACCCCAACACAGAAATATTTCTCAAGTGCTACCAAAAATGTGTACACTGAATACCTCACAAAGAATTAGGGATCTTCTTCATATTTAATAACAAGACAAAGAAACCGTCAATTCTTCAATTGGTAAAATCCTAAATTTTATTTATATCCAAGTAAGCACAAGTAAGAGCTTATCTTATCATTTGGTAAGAAATCCCAATGATAAAAGTCTAAATTATATCAGGTTATTTTCAAGGTAGCACATTTTTTTTCTTTAGATCATTTCATTAATATTTATCATCCAATGTGTTTTACTCCTGTTACTTCAAAATAAACCTACATTGTGTAAATAACATGTAAACTCCACTACATTCTGCTTAGATGTACAACAATAAAACTCCAGGGGGAAGGGGAGAGAGATTTTGACAAGATCCACAAGGCAACAATTATTTTAATATTAACTGATGGAAATATAATATGCTTTGATTAAAGCTCCACTAATAAAGAAAATAAATGTCGGTTATTTCTTGTTGAAAAAAGAAACATCTTAACACTGGGGAGCTCATAATTTTAAAACATCTACTAAACCTTCACTTACTAAGAATTTTATTTGCCCTATAATCTTGTTTAGGAAAGCAATCATTGTTCTAAAGAATTCCAAGTCAACCAAACATTCCAAACTACTTTTTCTTAACATGTTAAAACGCATCTTGCATTCCATCTACATTCTGAAACATACATTAAGGGATACAAATTTCCACTAGGTGGCACTATACTACCAAGAAGGAAGATTAAATAAAATGTAAAATTCCACATAAGATGCTGCTCAAACTTAAAATATGTAGCTTTTCAAAAATCAAAATCACCTCATCATTAATCAGGAGTTCTAAATATTAATAAAATTCATTCTAACTATAATTTTGGTAGTAAAACATAAAGGCTGAAAAGCTGAGATGTTTTAAAGTCTTGGTGGTGGTGTTTTTTCCCTTACAGCGTAAGTTAAAATAAAGGAGCGAAAAAGAATTTAAAATAATTTTGATTACTAGTGGCTTAATGTTATGATATTAAAGCATACTCAGAATCCAATCCAATCACAGAAGCCTTTTCAAGCCCCTGATGCTGCAGTACAGAAAATGACCACAGTGGACTTTTCACTGGATCAGAATCCAAAGGCCCAAAGTGTATTCAATATGAAGTCAACCATGTAGATTATTTTTTACAATTATTTTTCTTGTATGAAATGTTTCTACTAAAGAGTTAATATATGCTATACTACTTAAATATATGAATATGACAATACGCACTTTAAGCTTACAATCATCCCTCAGTATCCATGGGAGATTGATTCCAGGATCCCCTTGGATGCCAAAATCATTCAAGTCCCTTATATAAAATGGCACAGAACAATGCATAGAGTCAGTCCACAACCACAGATTCCCAACCACAGATAAAAAATACTGTTGGATGCAAAACCCACAGGTACAGAGGGGTGACTATACAGTTAATAAGCAAGATATTCTACACAGTTACTTGAAGTAGCAAATAGTAACAATTTACAACAGCTTTCAATGCTATCAAAATCTAACTTTACCTATGTCTATATTATTTGAAAAAAGTCAGATGTGTATCCATGATAAATCAGATTTAAAATGAGTAAGAATCTTACAGCAAATAACATAATTTCTAATATAACTACTGTAGGCCTTTCTATACATTATAATCAAGCTATCGTACATTTTTAAGCTTAGACATGAACAGAATAAAACAAACTGCTAGAAAACGAACATCCTTAAACTTCAATTCAGGCTAAAAAGCAGTAAAGAATTATACTTGTCATGTCAGCTCAAAAGCCATGAAAATGTTATATATGGCTTAGCAACATTAACTACCTTTCCTTTTGGTTATCTGAGGTTAAGACAGGAGGGAAAATCTTGATTGTGTCCAACAAACTAGCCAGAGGGACAAGGGTACAGGAAGCACTAACTCCCTGTCCAACAGGAAAAGATATTAACCAACAAAGCCAATGTCATTAAGCAAGCAAAAAGTTATTTGGTGGAGGCTATGAAAAGCCATGTCATGCCAAAATGGGGAGGAGATAGGTCACCCCCTAAGTCTCAATTGGCATAAAGACCAACGAAAATATTTTACTTTTTCTAAATTAATAAGGAAAAGGGAAGGGGATGACTTTTTTGGCTCCAGTGCTGGGCACAGCACATATTCTATGTAATTTCTCACAGAGACTCTCCAAGGTATGTATTATCATTCCTATTTTATAGATAAGGGAACAGCTACATAACTTTTCACTAGATCACACACAGATACTGGATGGCAGAGCTGAAACTGCAATAGCTCCAAACTTCATAATCAACAAAATATGTATCAAATGTTTATTGGGCATTTTATCTCACCCCCTACCACCACCACCACCACCAAAAAATAAACCATTTGTACTGTTGAATCACACTATCTCAAACCAGTCAGCCAAAAAATTTCTCAGCTCATCAGTAAGAACACTGAGAAGTTATTACATCCAGGGTAAGGGGCATGCAGTATTAGGGACAGAAACAAGGAACTGCTCAAGCTCAACAGGTAGTAAATGCTGTAACTCCCCTCAAGCCCCTAATAACTAATCATTACTCTACAAGTCACAAAATAAATTGCCCTCTGACATGGTCTAATATTAACCATGACCCTTATTTCCACTTGAGACAAACAGCCAGTGGCTCACACAGCAAGAAAAAAACTTGAGATCAGAAAATCACAAACTATACCCTAAAATAGTCTAAGTATTTTTATTCTTGGATTTTATAAGATTAAATGCTGGGGCCAAGAACTTTCTGACTATCCCAGTAATTTCGTTTATTGGTCAGGCTTGTTTGCCTGAGTTATGCAAGGTATGATTAATATGCTAATTTAGGGAATGTTTCTGGGTGTCTCCTGAGAATCACAGTAACTTAAGGAAATTTTTCAAACAACAGTAGACTTGATTTCTGAAAACTGCTTGAAACACTGTGTAAAAGCAGGTATTGCTCAAGTCTGTTAGAACAAAAAATTGCTCTTGGAAAAAATTTATGAGACATTTGTATATAACGGCACTACCCAAAACTCAAGTTACAAATTGACACACTTACTTAAGACGCTTTAGTATATAGTCGTCACTAGTTCATCTAAAGGCTTAATCCTACAAGATTATATTTTCTAAAATATCAAAGGTTTTATTTCAATCTGTTGTGCAGCTCCAAGAGGACCAGTACCATGGAGGAAAGAACTGAACAAAATATAGCCTGTGTGTTTTTAGGGGACAGGGAGAAGCAGGGGAAGAGACAAGTCCACAAACATAGAACCACTATGAAAGCTTCCCCTTCCAGCGAATATCTCCTGCCTTTATGTTTGTTTTAATTCCACCCTGGTAAAGAGAATAAGAGCTGAAAAGAGACAAGGAGGAAGCAAAAGAGGGGGAAAGTTCCCAATAAAAACTAACTGGCAATATCCTTTTGTTCTGCTGCTGACAACCTATTATGTTTAGTAGGATAAAGTATAAACTACCTAATGCAATCCATTTTTCAATTTAATCCCATTTCAGCTCAAACACTTACATACCCAGAACCATTTTAGGTCCAGGAAATAGAAATGAATGATACCACATACTGCTAGAACTCAGGCTAGCAGAAGAGGAAAACATATAAACAATTATAAAATAACTTTATGAGTGTTCAAATGAATGTACTATAATAAAGTGCATGGAAACACATAGGACAGGAAACCTACCAGCCTACAAATTTTTGAAAAAGGGTACCAATGACGTCTACAATAAACGACCTTGGTGCAGACATACGCCAGAAAACGCTATAATCTCAGGTCCTGGTCATTCTTTTCCTCTATCTTTATTTTAGAATGCCAGCAAATATGGAAAGGAGCTACCATAGAGCAACAAAATAAAACATCCTATTTTTAATATATAAGTTGAGATGAAAAGCATCCGAATGTAAATGAACAACCATTTTATCCACAAGGTTTCATTCCCTCTTTCCTCTTTCTATGTTTGCCTTTTCATTCTCAATCAACAGCCCGAACCCAAAGGCCCTTCACATTTATGCTCCAGTTTAAACCTGAAGTCGAACTCAAACACAATCTCCCCAGAGGCTCTAGTACCAGAACTGGGCATACCAATTAGCCAGGACAGGTGCTAGTTGCAACTGGAAGCTTGTTGCCAAGAGACTTTTCAACCTCTATATAAGCAAGAGTTGAAGTTCACAAATACACTTTGTGCAGAGGGAGTTAAGCATGCCAGTTCCATCTAAATCATATTACCCTCTCCTGACACCATACTAATTAGCTGGGTAATCCTGTAGTTGTTTTAAAGGTTACGCAGGCTCCTACAATTTAATGCACTGAATTTATTCATAAATAAGAGCAGACCTAAACTTAGCTTCATAAACCTGATTTCAGCTTCATTCTAAACAACAAACCATCAGTCATACTTCATCACCACCACTATCAGCAGCCACCCAAATGACCTGTGCTAAGAGGTTTTTGACAAAGGATGATCACTGAAATATTTCCTATTTTGTTTTTAACCTTAAGTCATTAATTTCT